TCCTATTGAAAATATCAATATACGATGTTTATCGTTGAAAATAACAAATATGAAATATTTCACGAAGATTGATAAATGTTCTGCAAATATAATATCGCAATTCATTTCAACAAATATTACGTTTCATATAAACGTGATAGTTAATTTAATTGCAAGAGAGTTAATTATGAACTGGGCTCACGAAAAATGTATATTTTTTATGAGATTAGTATGCGTGTTAGATAAGACACTTTGACATTTCACGCTGCAATAATTTAAAAATAAAATATACTTAAATAATCACAATTCACGCATTGAGATATTGGTTTCAAATTTCAATGTTTCATTACTCCGAAATAATCTTCTATCATGTCTGAAATAAAATTATAAAATGTTTTACATTGCACATGTATAATACATGTATAGAAATAAATGTTCGAATACTTTCGCGAGCAAAATTTATATTTTCGTAAATACAAGCAAATAGAATCGAAACAGAGATTATGACGAGATATACTTCATTTTTGATATTTTATATATTTCTTTGTATTATGTGCACTTTACACGGATTCCTTCGTTTCCAAATTTCCCAAAAATCTACAATATATTTACAAGATTTCAATGAAAACAAATTCTAGGGGAAAACATTCTTTCTAAAATCAAAAGAGGAACATTTCTGGTAACATGGAAGAACAATTGTCCGTGCATAGTGAATACTTAATTAATATTATTGCTTCGTTCCGTCTTATCGTGTTCCACTTTTTTAACTTAAACGTGCTATCACTGAGTCATGAGTACAAATTATCCTATCGTTGAATATGCAAGTACGGATAAAAACAGGTATTTTTTGAAGTTTTTCATTGGAACACGTACGCGTATTTTACGACGTAACGACCATTAAGGAGGAAATTAACAGGAAACTAACTTACCAAATCCTTTGGTTTTGCATTTAATTCGACGACAGCCTTCTGAAGCTCGCAGTTTTGTCGTCGCAGTAGCGAAATCTACGAAAAATCAAATGAACAACTCTTAGTAGCGTTCTGATCAATAACGAAAGATGTTAGACATACGATCAGTCGTGAAAATTTATATAACGTTTGAAAAATTTCAAATATTTAATCGGTAGATTACATTTAACGATTTCATTGAATTTTAAAGAATCGTATCAGCGAGAAACATATTTTTTGATTTCATTGTTCTATTATCTTACTGTAGTGTCCTCTTTTTATTTTATTATTTTGTAAGTTTTACAAACTTAAAATATTACTTCTCGAAAAAGAACTTTCGAACTATTTTCGTGTGTGTAAAAAAATTGTACAATATAATTAGGGAAATATAATTACAGAAAGATAAGGATTTAGGATGTTACGATTACCAGATTCGCGATTATCATATGTACATTGAAGCAAATAAAATACGTTCTTATTATTACTAAAATGCAATTATAATCGGAAGTTTTATTCGCTTTATTATTTATTATTAAATTTTCTCTAGATCGTGTCTTCGATCCATTCGCATGATCTTCCACACAAACGAAATGAAAAGAAATATTGCCGATAGTTCAGAAACTTTTCATTCTAAGTATCTCGATATTTCTGATTCTAGCTACTTTAATTATTTGCTGCCCAGATTACGATCGATTAAAATACGATATTTGATTATTTCTTGATTGCATCATACTCGCGATAGCACTTAGAAAATTAATTTCTAGCAAACGTGATTAGCAAATCACATAGAGCAATAAAGAACTGATGAATTTCGCGATACTGAAGAGGAAAGAGTATTCGAAATATATATATATATACACACGTGTAATACGAAGGTGTGTTGGTGCCATATTTATTCCTGGAACTGGATGATTTTATTGGTACAGTTAACGAAAAATCGGTATCTCCCAACTTGAGGGGGAATATGGGGAAAAAAAACCTGGAGGGCGGAGGGGGGAAAGAGGGAAAAGTTGACATGGAGAACGCGGTAATCACGCTACGAACTTAAATATTGGTAACCATAATCAGAAGGAAGTCCGGTGGTAGGCCGTGGGCATACGAACCGTACGATGCGCGTTTCTGTTTGCCTTTCTTATCTCAGGTTTGCGCTGCGATAAACCGTCACCAAACCCCCTTCTCCAAACGTTATTCCACCTATACGGTTCACCACGAACGCTGGGAGCAACGTAAGCGAAACGATTCGAAATATTTCGAATCCAGCGCAAATAATCCGGTTAAAATAGTCAGGTATTTTTCTCTTTCTTTCTCTCTCTCTCTTTTTTTTTTGTTTTCCTAAATTTGGTTCACAGAACTGCAAGGCAATTTCCGACGAGGGAAGAAACTTTGTAGATAAAACGGGTTGCACGCAGAACTGGATAAAATATCATTTTAAATTATGCGCATAACTTTAAAAATAAAACATTTTACTCGATGTTTGAACCGCGTAGCGGTTACTAATAACAGTAATCTGAAATATTTGTTTCTCCGAATTTTACCTAATTCATTGACCGGACGAGAAAGAATCGGGGGATATTCTTTTGAAAAAGAAAGCAGAATTCTCTCGGAGAAATCGAGCGTAAGCAAGCTTCGGAGAAAAAATGCAAAGGGAAATAAATTTTGCGGTATTTATAGCTTCTGGCGATTTCAACGGATTAATAACGTTCTATTTATCGATATTCTCTAAAGGATAAAAGAGAAGTTGAACGTGGGATCTCTTATTTGCATTGTAGATCTTTTATTAAAATCTCCAGGTTCTTTCTTAATTTAAAAACAGAAACGTAACAAGTTTATCAAAGTTAAATCTCAACATTTCTAATATGCGAACTGATATAGAACGCCGCTTTAATATAAAGTTTTTAGCGACGGTTTAAGGAAAGTATCGTTGAAACGTTTCGATATGAAGTTTTATAAAAGGAAACTGAACAGCGGGGAGGAAAAAAAAAAAAAAAAAAAAAAAAAAGAAAAAGAACGCGATAGAAAATACGCGATCGGCCTTCGTGATTCAAAGACACTCCCTAAACCATGTGATTTATATTCCAGGAACACTGCTCGGATATCGAACGTTAGTTAATATTGGAAAACGTTATTACGATTCCAGTCAGTTGATTACGCGATTAATAGATGCTTCAGAGTTTCGACAGTTTTATTCGTGTGCGCAACAATGGCAGGTACCCGCGATCCTGATGTAAAATATAATTTCATCTTCATCCTTAATAACAAATTTAATATTGATGATATAGATATATAGATATAATTCAAGTCTAAAGCAATAGCACGAACGATGTTAGAATAATAGCATTGTTTTCGTAACTTTAATCACTTTTCTATCTTTTCTCATAATTGCAAGTCTATTTTAAGCGGTATGTTTGTTTCTCCATTGTTAAAATCCATTAGAAATGGTTACTGATAAGATAGATGTTGTTTACGAGTGCATATTGTTATTGAACGAGTAGAAACAGTGGAAAATATTTGTATGAAGAAGATAGTGTAAAAACTCGTACGTGTCAAAAGGTGCAAAAAATTTCGATTTCGGAAGTTGTACCGCGTTCTGAATAATAAACGAAGATAATTTGCAGGCAGCAGTCGTCGAACTGTTTACAATGAAATTTATTTAAAATAAAAGTGTACGAGTTTTCCGTTCAAGATAAAATATTCTAATAATATTTTATCTATCAAC